AATTGTGACAAGAGAAATACATCAGTTGGTATGCAACCTGCAGATGCAGTTTGTTCGAAATTTGATGGTCGTCGTAAATTAAATAATCGGAAGGATTGTGATTCTGTTTCTTTTAGATGTCACAAATACAAGATAAACAGTTCATCATTTGAAGTAATTTTTCAACTTAAATTTGGGAAAATTTTGTGGGGAACTACTTTATTGTTTATTTGGCATCTAATTCACACTCACAACCAAACAGCTGACACTCAATGTGCATTCTATGCACATTGAGTGTCAGCTGTTTGGTTGTGAGTGTGAGTAGTCGAACAGCTGTTGAATGGGCGAATTTCATATCACACATTATGATTGTTTCATCATCTACTGGAATGAAAATTGGATGGACCTGGAAAGGTTGTTGAAATCGACAAGATTGTTGTGAGCAAAATGAAAAGAACTAGGAGAAAGGTTAGACCTGTTTGTTCAGCATATGATTAAGTAAGTGCCAATAAATCTGAAAGTCATAACAGGAAGAATGTAGACGTGTGTTAACCCCTTAACGACTATTTTAATAAAAAAAGGTCTTTTTTGAATGCCTGTTCATTGTTATTACATAAAAAAATTCTTCATTTCAATTGAAAAAAGTGGTTTTTTTCGATTTTTCAAATTTCGCAAAAATTGGTTCCTTAAGAATGCAGAAAAAGTTTCTACAATGGAAAAGGATAAAGTTACGATAGAATCATCTGAACCATGTTTTTTCTGAATAAATCGGAGAAAAGGAATTAGAAGTATGTCAATGGTGAATGAAAGATTATTTCTTTAAATGCTGGTTTAGTAAGTAGCTGCACTGGTCACCATCTTGTTTGTGGATGTCGTGTTCACAAACAAGATGGTAACCGGAAGTGCCACCATTGGGACTACCTAGGTAAACTTCTACCCATATTTGTTCTTTCAATAATAAACATGCAAACTTCTATTTTTTACTATTTCCTTCTATTAAACTTTTATATCTACCAAACACTTCAAATTTGAATTTTAAACAAATTTATTCTTCTTATGAATTCAGGTACCGAGTGTAGTAATCAAAAAATTAATTCAATCTATGCATCAACCATATTTTATTTTACACAGATAAAATTTAATAAGATTCCAGATGACCATATATTTAATATCTGCATTATCTGGACATTCATCTTATCTTTGATTATTATAGTTAAACTTTCATTAATGCTACACAGTAAGTCCATAAAAATTTTATATATGAAAATATTAATACATATAATAATTTAACAATTGTATACAAAATTTATAAAAAAAAATACACATATTCAAATTTTATTAAAATCCCTATCATTATTCACAATTTAGGTGAAAAGCTGTTAACTAAATTACATTGTCAAATGGTAAAATGGAAAAAATATTTGCCAAGTGACTACTCAAACATCAAGGAAACATTTCAAAAATCTAATAGCTAAACTAACTCAACTGAGCAATTGCTAATACTTATGTTTAGCAGCACTGAAAGATACAGTACTAAGAGCAACTCCAGAAATATCTAATACTATAACACCAATTAATTTAGATTTTGATAATAAGTTACAAAAATATGATAAACATTCAAATTAAAGAAAGGTCCTTTAACTGCATTTACATCTATTTTATATCTGTTATTTTATGCTCATAATTGACTTTTATAATGTAAAAGTAAAAATTTTACAATCATCAAATCATTTAATTAAGTAATGTTTATCCAAATCTATTTAATTTAAACTCACTTCTCTTCCCAGTGTCAGGAAATGGGCATTCAAATGTGTGTTAGACAGAATTTCACTGAGTTCTTCCTGTTCATCAGTATCATCATTCAAAACAAAATGTATCTGTTGCCGACTCATCATAAAGGACATTTGTTTTCGAACAGATCTGTAACATAATAACACACATATTTAATATGCTTTAATTTCTTAACTATACTTCCCTGAAAATTTTTACTTAATTTTCGAACATTATAAATAAAATATTATCCTTGTATATTTAGTTTTCAGTATTCCATTGAAAACAATGGTATATTTATAACATATATTTAGTGTTTTAATAAATTCTTAATTTTAATACCTCAAATACATTGATGATTTTCTTCTTCTAATACTACATCAAATTAATTTAAATTAATTTATTTTAAAATTAATAATTAATAAAAATTAATTTAAAGTTTAAATGTAGTTAAAATTTAATAATATAAAATTATCATTTAATAGTTACCTATCTTCACATTCATAAAATATTTCCTTAATTAAATTTGAATCATTCAACTGCATAGCAAGACGTAAAGCTTCTGGATATTTTTTAAATCTTCGAAACAATTTTAAAGCAGCTTTTAGAAGATTACTATTTTCTGGTTCAGGCACATAAGGAACACAACTGTAGTAATAATAAAAAAGTTTAAAAATTGTAAATATTTTTTTTTAATATTGATAAATAAATAAATGAATAAGAGAATTGTGTTCTCTATTTTGTATATTCTAGCCTTATTATCTATACTGTTAAATAATATGGTTCTAAGCTGAGAATAGTCAAATGTTAACTGAAAATGCCACTTAATTAAAAAAAAATTTGGCTTCCTGAAATTAGCAGTCATTTATTCATTTATTTACAAGGATCATGCCAAGATTTATAAACCTTTATGTTAAATATTGATATTCTGAGAATAGTGATACTGACCTGGTGAGATATAATGCCACTCTTGGGAAAGCATCTTTGTCAACATATCTATCTAGCATTTCAAGCATTTCAATTTCCATCAAAAGATCACAGGCTTCAGCTTCTGCATTATGAGCCATATGATATGGTACAATCTGTTCTGCCAATTTTACAACCTCTATCTTCTTCTCAGGCTCATTTTGAATATTTGGCCACTCAAGTGCAATTTCTCCAGCAAGATGTCTATAATTTAATTATCTTATTTTGCTTACTTCATATAAAATTACAGAAAGAATTTTAAAATTCAATACTTACCTTACATATTCATGACCCCAAGAACCAATTTCTTCTCTTGAACCAAGAAGACGATAAGTAAGGCATTCTCTTTCTTCACTCATAGTCATAGCAAGTATGGAAATAATATCAGCACAGAATCTCTAATTTAACATAAAATTAAATGAAAAAATATTAAACAAATAATTTAAAATACTTATATAACATACTAAAGCAATAAAAGATGAAAATCTTTAATAATTTAAATATAAAAACTTGAAATTTCAAATTCATGTTGTGTACCATTATGCAAAATAATGTTATTCACTAAATACTTATCATTAATATCACAAATCTATTTTCAGTTTATCTTTAAAGAATCATGAATACATTTACAAAATTTATTAAAGATTAATTGATATTTTTTATAAGTAAGTATTAAATGAAAAAGAATGCTTTAAACATGTAGTTTCACTTCTCTAAATTAATTATTAAAAACTACATAGTTCATGTCATGCTTAATGGGGAACTATATAGTTATGGTCCAGCCTTCTATCCCAGTCAGGTTAGTCAGAGTCCCCTTGTTAATACGTTAACCTAACGTGGGGAAAAGAATAAAATATATTTATCCCACCTCCTTCCTCTAGCTAATATATCAATACTATGTTCCGACTGAGTGCTACTCACTTATCAGATCAACCCAACTGGGAACACATGACAAACCATGATGGTATAGATTCTTCCACCACGTGTATCCAAATATGGAACCGTACCAAAAATTATATAACCTTGTAAAAGGTCTCCTTACTGTCTTTTCTGAGTAATAGATATCTTGATATTCTTTTGGTTTCTTAAATGACAAGGCAAATTCTAAATAAAAAATGGCAATGCCAAATGATATGTAGTAGCCCCATCTGGTCGATTAATCTGACTTTGGATATTATAATAATAAAATTACTAACAATAAATAATATAAGAATATTACTACTAATATTAATAATAATAGCATAACAACAAAAAATAATAAATATTACAATATGTTATGAAATACTGTCATCTGTTCAGAAAGAAAGACAAATGAAGCCACAAACAGACAGCCTATTAAATTAATAATGATTTGAATACCAATGTTTGAAACATTGAATGCTATTTGGTATCAAAATTGTGCCAATATTATTCACTAACATAAAATATCTGACAGCCAGATGGCTGAGCAGTCAAGGTGACAGCCTACCACTCTGGAAGACCCAGATCAAATCCAGACAGGTCAAAAAAGCTCCAGGAAACATGACATATCCAAACAGACCACAACCTTGGGTCCATCTGGATATGTAGGACACTGTCCTACATATCCAGATGTAGGATGGACCTGGATATGTAGGACACTGTCCTTCACCAGGTGCCCATTGTGGACCTGGCCAAATCCATAATGGGCTTGCTAAAAAAGACCCTCTTAGTGTCCACAGGATGGAAAGAGTTTATATACAGTGATACCTCGGTTTTCGTCAATAATCTGTCCAAAAACAATCAACAAAATCCGAAACCGGTGAAAACCGAGGCAATTATTTCCATATAAATCAATGTAAATTCAATTAATTCATTCTAGACACTTCAAAATACATAAAAATACATTTTATAGATAATTAATATAGCGTTAAATACTAAAAGCAATAAGAAATTAATATAAAAGACTAATCTAAAGGAAAGCAATGAAATTTTTTGGCTAGACATGCAGGGTAATGTCTTGTCTTGAAGAAGCTAGTTGGATATGAGCTTCTAGCCTACATTACCCTGTGGTAAAATGTGATGTAACTGTCATGTAATAGTAGTTGTATGCATTTATGGTGGTCATATCGTGGGGAATAATGCCTTCCAGGAGGTCCGTTTAAGGGTAACTGGTCCCTATTCAGGTGTTATAGATGTGGAGAAAACCTGGAAACTTCACCAGGACATGGCCAGCCCATCCTGTCAAAGCACAAACCCACAACCAAACTCCCAGTGTTCAGGGAATGGAACTGTTGGCTAATGGTGGGCCGTCATGGGGTAATGCTCACACAACGAGAAATAATGCCACACTGAGCCGGAAAATGCATGGGTCGCTCTTTGTTTGGTGAAAACATAAGTATATATATACATATACTTCTGTTTTCGCTAATTGCCTCAGATTTTGTCGGCACGCCCAAGCGACCTCACTGTTAATTTTGTATCTAATATAATAAAGCTACATTGGTTTTGCTGAACGATACAAAATGTTTGATAGAAACATGAAATGGCAGGCACAGTCAAAAGGAGACATCAAAAATATTGCCAAAAAATCCAAAATTTCAAAAACCTAAAATGTTTAAGGCATACAAATTTAAAGTTCAACTCTTGAAACTTCATAGAATATAACATTTCAGTGGCCAATTATTTTGAGCACTATTTGCTTATTTTTAAAATTGCTAATCATTATTTTGTCCTGTATTATATATTAAAGCATCACAAAGTTATGTGAAATGCTAGAGTTTAACTGTTGGAGGTGATTAGGAGTGAAATCCTTAACAAATTAAATTGTAATTTTTTTAAACCTAAATGTAGTCTGTCTACATCAGTAAAAATTCATAAGAAATATTTCTATTTCTTAAAAATTACTGATCTAATAAAAATTTTACTGTTTTATTACAATGAAAAGCATATTTAATATCGATTACTGTCATACAATGAAGCTTTCATTCTATTATTAATGATTTGTTGGATTTCAACACAAATCATCAATAATAATAAATGGACAAATAATAATAATAAATGGACTGTTTAAATCAAACATTTATAACATCTGAAACATTTGTTGTAGAAGTAATAGGTTTTTGATTTAAAATAGAAATTTATAAATACTTGATCTGACAGCCCTCAAAACCAAATTTTAATTTGAAAGTCTAATTTTTGCTATGATACATGTCTTAAACTATAGACAGAATCATATATCTATATGGAATGTGTCAAAATTCTACAAAATACCATACAATTTTTCTATAATTACCTTAATTTGAAAAATAGCTTTAAATATTCAATTTTCTTTTATAAAACTGAGAAGCAAGCACATTTAAAAAACAGAAAAAAAAAATCAATGAAAAACGACTAATACAAGGTCTGATCAAAAAGTATCTGACTTCAGGTGTTTGCAAGCTGGAAGAGACTGTCATCATNTACATTTTATAGATAATTAATATAGCGTTAAATACTAAAAGCAATAAGAAATTAATATAAAAGAATAATGTAAAGGAAAGCAATGAAATTGTTTGGCTAGACATGCAGGGTAATGTCTTGTCTTGAAGAAGCTAGTTGGATATGAGCTTCTAGCCTATATTGCCCTGTGGTAAAGTGTGACGTAACTGTCATGTAATAGTAGTTGTATGCGTTTATGATGGTCATATTGTGGGGAATAATGCCTTCCAGGAGGTCCGTTTAAGGGTAACTGGTCCCTATTCAGGTGTTATAGATGTGGAGAAAACCTGGAAACTTCACCAGCCCATCCTGGCAAAGCACAAACCCACAACCAAACTCCCAATGCTCAGGGAATGGAACTGTTGGCTAATGATGGGCCGTCATGAGGTAATGCTCACACAACGAGAAATAATGCCACACTGAGCCAGAAAATGCATGGGTCGCCCTTTGTTTGGTGAAAACAGAAGTATATATATACTTCTGTTTTCATGCATTTTCCCATGCAGAAGTATATATATATATACTTCTGCATGGGAAAATGCATGAAAACAGAAGTATATATATACTTCTGTTTTCACCAAACAAAGGGCGACCCATGCATTTTCTGGCTCAGTGTGGCATTATTTCTCGTTGTGTGAGCATTACCTCATGACGGCCCATCATTAGCCAACAGTTCCATTCCCTGAGCATTGGGAGTTTGGTTGTGGGTTTGTGCTTTGCCAGGATGGGCTGGTGAAGTTTCCAGGTTTTCTCCACATCTATAACACCTGAATAGGGACCAGTTACCCTTAAACGGACCTCCTGGAAGGCATTATTCCCCACAATATGACCATCATAAACGCATACAACTACTATTACATGACAGTTACGTCACACTTTACCACAGGGCAATATAGGCTAGAAGCTCATATCCAACTAGCTTCTTCAAGACAAGACATTACCCTGCATGTCTAGCCAAACAATTTCATTGCTTTCCTTTACATTATTCTTTTATATTAATTTCTTATTGCTTTTAGTATTTAACGCTATATTAATTATCTATAAAATGTATTTTTATGTATTTTGAAGTGTCTAGAATGAATTAATTGAATTTACATTGATTTATATGGAAATAATTGCCTCGGTTTTCACCGGTTTCGGATTTTGTTGATTGTTTTTGGACAGATTATTGACAAAAACCGAGGTATCACTGTATATAAACTCTTTCCATCCTGTGGACACTAAGAGGGCCTTTTTTAGCAAGCCCATTATGGATTTGGCCAGGTCCACAATGGGCACCTGGTGAAGGACAGTGTCTTACATATCCAGGTCCATCCTACATCTGGATATGTAGGACAGTGTCCTACATATCCAGATGGACCCAAGGTTGTGGTCTGTTTGGATATGTCATGTTTCCTGGAGCTTTTTTGACCTGTCTGGATTTGATCTGGGTCTTCCAGAGTGGTAGGCTGTCACCTTGACTGCTCAGCCATCTGGCTGTCAGATATTTTATGTTAGTGAATAATATTGGCACAATTTTGATACCAAATAGCATTCAATGTTTCAAACATTGGTATTNATTGCAATTTTAATAAATCTATAGATAACATTCAAGAAAAAAATACTCATATAAATTATACACATACTTTTGTTGGAGGATCTTGTATCTTTTTATGAACATCCTTCAATGTTTCATAATGACAACGAAGAAACTTTAATGGTTTTGGTACAGATGTCATAGATGTAGTAGAAGCACGAATCTGAGTTCGTAGACTTTCAAGTGCAGGAAGGTACATAGAAGAATCATTTTCCTACAAGAAATTTTAAAATTTAATGCTTATTTGATGTTTTGATAAAATTAAACTGAAAAATTAATTAAATAATTAATAAGATATTTATTTCTTTATAAATATATTTAAAGAATATAAAAGAAGTTTTACAATTTAAATTATGTCTAAAATTATATATTTGATAATAAATTGTCAGAACAATAAGTATTTAAACCAAGAAAATGTATTAAAAAAATTTTATATAACAGACAATACATAAAACGTGTCTTTAAAATTTAGTTTTTTTTCATGCACACAAGGAATTAACAGTCTTCCAAGAGGAGTCAAAACTTTCTTTAGATGTTACTTGTCCTCTAATGAAAGTACTTGTCTATACTTCAATATGCAAAATGTCAAAAACTTCTCTCTGGTGAAAGCACAATAAATTAAAAAATATACATTTGATAAAAGGGACAAAATTTTAAGACATTTTATGTATTGTCTGTTATTAAAAAAAATTCCCATAAATTTTCTAAGTTTAAAATTATATAATTTATAATTCTTAAGAAGAAACAAAAGGTCTTCACAATTGCTCTTCTAACACCACAGGAATAACAATGTCATATGGCAAAGTTAACCTTTATTGTGAGGCATTTCTCTGTCTCAATATGCGAACGGTCTGAAGTCTTTCAGATGGCAGAATAAGTTAAAAATTGCAATTATTAAAAATAAACTTAAATGATAAATTTGTTTAAAATTCACATATAGAAAAAACACAAGATCTCCAAAATAATTCTTCTAGTGACCTTGTCAATAATCTCACATAACCAAGTCAATTGAAGGGTTTTATGGCATTTCCCACATTAGGGAGTTTGAAAAAAAAGGAGGATTTGTTTTTCAATTCACCAGTACTTTAATATGCAACATTTTATTACTGTGGGTAACTTATGTGAATAATTAATGAAGCATGTAACGGAACTGTGAAAGTTTCTTATAATTCAGATACACAAATCCAAATTTATCAATAGCTTGTCTTTTAGTTTTGTGGGATATGCCATTTTTCCATTAAGCTCCTCAATTGTCAACCATAGTTCAAGTTTACCATGTGACAACTGTTGTTCTAGTAAGTCTTCACAATCATAGTGTTGTTCACTAGAACAACAGAAAAATGATTGTGAAGACTTTTCTTCTACTTGTGAATTTTAAATGAATTTTTTGTCCATGTTTACTTTTAATATATAATTTATATTGAAGCCTTATATGCAGAAAATTATCAGAAAGTTAAAAACTAAGAAAAATGGTGATCTGAAGACAAAATGTTAAGTAAAAAGAAACTTTAAAATTTTTTGGAATTTTATTAAATATACTTCATAATATGTTATCATATTAATTTATATAAACTTTCCAATATTGCATTTTATCCTAATAAAATATTTTAATATCCTTAGAATAATTACAATACCAACTGATTTTCAACAAGTTACAAATCAGTTATTTAAGGATTTATTCATATTAACTCTTAACACATGATACATATGCAGGCACACAAACCTCCAACACACAAGTATTTATATACTGTAATATGCAACAAACATAATAACTATATTTAAAAATTCAAACACTGTGTTGTATTTCTTTTTATAAACAACTTATAATTTTTTTTCCTGAAATTATTTCAAAAAATAATTTTTTGATAAATTTAAGAATTAAATTTAATAGCATAATATTTAAAAAGTAAATATTTGCTTACCGTCAAACGTTGAACCAGCATATTAAGTTCAATCTGTAATTGCTTGTCCTCCTCTGACTATAAATTAAATATATATATATATAAATTAGTAAGAAAATAATTTCATAAATAAAACTGTGTTATTTTTTTACAAATTTCTAAATCTAATTTCATAGAAATTATTTTTAAAAACAATAAATTTCCTTTAAAAATCAAGCAAAATAAATATCGTCATCATGTTTGGCAGTATAATGGATAAATTTCATTTTAAATTTGCAGTCAGAATATACACACTAAATCACTTAATCTCTGAACATAGTAGTAATAACATAGCAGATTATTTTCAAATGGATTATTACATCCTTTTTATATCATTTCATGTCTGTTTTTAAGTAATCAAGTTGAATAAACAATTTTAATCATATATATTATTAAAATATACAATTACATCTAATTTAATTCACAATAGAATAGATTTTATATAAATACTAACTCCTAAATCTGAAATATTAAAATATCATTTGTTTATAACATTCATCTCTGTCACAATAAATTATTTAGATATACATATTCATCTAAAATTTTGGCCAGAACAAGTTTAGTTAAAACAAAATGAATAAACAATATTTAACATGAAAAAGTAAACTATTAAATTTATATCTAATATATAAAAATATATAAACTATGGCAAGCAATTAATATACACCTTATTCTTTGATATTGCAAGATCTTAAGAAAAAAAAAACTTTCTTTGATATCTATCTTTCTCTAATTTTAAAATCAGATTTTATGTCAAGAAAAATCATATAAAATCTTAAACAAACTTTAATATAACTAATATAATTGCTAAAGCAAAATAATCAAATACACAATCAAATGATAACTACACTTTATTTTTATTATAAATTTATACAAATGTAATATTTTATCATAATCATCAGTCAAATACTGTACTAATGTTACTTCACTGCAATTATAAATTTTTCAAATTAATCTTTGTTTTTTTAAACTTGTACTGATAAGAAATTTGAGCCAAATATTTCAATGATTTATGCCATTCATTTTGTTTTTATTTCTCATTAAAAAGAAATTCTTTCTATTTAATTTTTATCAGGTTAAGTGCCAAAAAAGATACATAGAATAGTTGGACATAGTTGGAGAATGGATGAAAAGCGCTTACTGATTTTCAGGCAGAGAGACCATCAGTATGGAATGTGTCTAACTCAAACTTTGATGCAACACTCATGTCATAGCAGACTTGTCAGCAATGGCTTAATGACTTTCTAGCTATCACCATTAACAATTGTGTTTAAGTTTTGGACACGTGTATAATTGTGTTCATTCACAAAATTTGAAAACTTGATACTAATTAATATATTATTATACAAATTAAATTAGTATACAAAATATTCACTACTTCCTATTGAATATTTATGAGATGAATTTTGGAATAATAATACAAAAAGTCAAATATACAAAAAGTCAAACACACAAAAAGTCAAATATATTTTTGATTTTCAAAATTCCTCAATGACATATCTTTATGCATTTTCTGAATATAAAATATATTCGTCATAATCTCTACAATAAAAATCATCAAATACCGATGATAATGATGATGATAATGATAAATTTAATTTGGGAAATTTAAATTTTCCAAATTAAATTTATCCTCATCATCAACATCCTAATCTAACCATTCAATGTAAACAATCTCAGTATCAAGATATCAAAATAGCAATTAGCTTACACTGATTATATACACCCAAATAAGATGTTGAATGTTAAGAATTTTTATATAAACTGCTTTGAAACTGATTTTCAACAATTCACAGACATGAATTTTTTTCAATACTTCACAAATCATACTATGTAAATAAACTATCTAAAATTACTATTCATAAAATAATTGCAGAATATTGATTTTATATTATGAATTATTTTCATTCTATTTCTGAAATGACATTCTTTAATTAATTAATTAATAGATTAAACTAAATTTAAACAATATGAGCTATAGAACATTATTGTAAACAGCTTATCTAGTTTATTGAAACTAACTTAAAACATTAATTACCTTTTGCATAACTACACAAAAGCACCTTGTGAAATAACAAAACTGTTAGAATGGATGAAGTAAAATAGAACAATACTTCATTCATTCACAAGTGCTTTATTTCAACACATTCAAAAAATTAGTAATAATTCAGATATACAGTAATACCTCGACTTACGCGAACCCGAAGTTACGCGATTTTCAAATCTCGTCGATTCGTCTTTTGTTTGAGCGCCACGCAACTCTTGATTACTCATTCCCCCCACACTATTGTTCAGCTTACATGTTCGGACGTGTCGTGCGGAATCGACATATAGCTACAATTTATTTTGTGTTATTTATTTCTGTATTTGTTATATCTACGGAGACTCGAGAGATTATGTGGTGATTTCTTGTAACAATAAATGAATCAAAAGACAAGATAAGATTAACGAGAACATTTATTAGCTTACATACATCCGACTTGGATTTTACACAAATTGAGAAATTATACCCCGACTTACGCGGTTATCGCTTGGTCCCACCTATTGCATAATTTCAGGGTATTACTGTATGTATTTTGTTTATTAGATTAGAAATGGATATGTCTATAAGATAATAAATTCATTGACAATCAAAAAAATTGCATGTCTGGTCTATTGTGATGAAATGTTTTATCTATCACAACAGCCCAGTCAACATATCTACTAGACATTCATTTCTATTGCAAACATGGGCAAAAAAAAAAAGTTCAGTTATAGTATATTTTTGTATGTTATTTTCTAAGACTACCTGCAGTATTTATAGTATTGTAGTTGTGTTTGTGTGTAAGCTTATTGTGTATTATGTCTCTTATTTGGTTATGTTCATGCAAGTAGCTGTAAGTGCTAAAAGCTTACAGCCTGATGTGAAAACAGTAGTGTTCACATATAACAAACCCACTTATAATGAACTCTTGGTTATAACAAATCAATTTTAAAAGTACAAATGAAACACCTGTAAGATCAATGTTATTTTTTTCTGGCTACAACAAATGCATATATAAAAAAACTATATTTGAATTTAAAAATGAAAGTTATCACTAACTGATTACGAAAACAAAGAATACTCTAGAGCTAGAGTTATTACTAGGGTTTTCAAATAAAAACTTTTTTCTGCAACATTACGGGAGTGACATGAAAGGGTTAAATAGTTTCACTTAGGTGGAACTGTATATTACAAAATGCTATTCAACTAGCGAAAACCAACAAACAAAAATAACAAATCTTTAAGTAACCATGTACATTTATATTGAGTTTTAATGGGCAACTTCCTATGTAATAATTTGTTAAATTTTATCTTTAAGACATTAAACTTTAAATTTTCAAAATTAGACTGTTTTATTTCTTATCCGATTTAACAAACATTGGTTATAACAAACTAGTTCTAAGGTCCATACAGGTTTGTTATAAATGGACACTACTGTACTGTATAATTTCAGGAAAGATGTGCCCTTTCCATCAGTGTGTGTTAAGTGTTGTCTTTTAAAATGTTATTTTTGTAGTATTTCTGTATTTATGACCTAGTTTTTGATAGCAATCATGAATCCTCCATCTCTGGAAAGAGATATACCTAAGCCAGTCAGCAGTTTGATGCAATTTAGTCCACATGATCCGGCTAATATAATTTGGATGTCTACCATGGCATTTCCTATTTCCTGATGCAGGAATGTAAATTTTTTGTAATGGAAATTGTAGTATTGTATTAGATGTCTTCCAATCATGCATTGTTCAGTATTAAACAAGGTTGAAAATAATTTGATTATTATTAAGTGAATTTCAAAACTAGATAATTTAATTTTTTAAATAAATTATAATATATTTGTTTGTAATTAAATATTACAATGACAACAACAAGTGTTTTCAATGCTTTAGCTTACCAGTATCTATAAGGATTATCATTCATATTGTATTCTATATAATATATTTCAATCAGTCAAAAATTTATAAAATATCACAGAGTCTGTAAGTTAGCAACTTTAAGGATTTGAGGAAATTGCAGAAAATTTTGTATTACCTAGATATAGATGTCTTTTAAATTGAAAAAAAAATTTAAGATTTAAAATTACATTTTTTGCATACTTCAAGTTGGGAAATATGGACGTGTGAAATTTTGGAGATCCTCCACCGAGCTAGCCCGGTCTCGGGTCCATGAATCGCCATCACTCTCGAACCAGGGGGCCATGAACCGCCATCATCCTACGACCAGGGGGCCAACGTCAGTGAACTAGATGCAGTGCCGACAGCAGGCATAGCCCAAAAAATAGCCAAAACCTATGACCCCTGGCCTCAACCAAAGGCGAGGAGAAGACAGCTTCCCAGCCACTAAGTGACAAGTAGGCTATCCACTTACAGATACAAACCTTGTACTTTGATCTTAGCCAGAAGGCCTTTTGGCTAAGCTGTACGACCAACTTTAATTATACCAATTACGAACGATCTTGACTCGCAATAAAGTCAGCCAACATAGAAGAGAAACAATAACAATTCTCCAATGACGACACTCACAATCAGAGAGATCCGAATCGCATCTGAACGTTGATTCCCAACGACAACTCACCACATGGTCTTCCAGATAACAGATGATTTTCGAACAAGTCACAGGCTATTATAGTTCAAACCAAACATACTCTTCTTAAGAGATGTTTACAGATAAATAAATGTAATCTACTGTAAATGAACCTTTACTTTTCTTTCTACACGGAAAATTTCATATAAATTCAAATAATTAATCGAGTTAATAATAATATTTAATTAACAGTGATCACAACTGAATTTTTTAAACGGAATACTTAAATCTGTAAGAACTAATTGTAATCTAATTATTATTTCGACGAAAGACTAAAATTTAATATATATGTAAGCAACGATTCTAATGATTAATATCCAAAGAGTGCAAATAAACTCTTAAAAATATACTTTATAAGCTTAAAAATTAGAAAATTGTCCGTAACGTTTGCTACGGACAATTTCTTCTTTCGAAAATTCTTCTCACCAATTCTTGTTCTTTTTCCTCGTTTTTGTCTTTTGCTTTCTCATTTTCCACATTTGGTTTCTTATCCTTCATTCTTCGACACTTTGTTTTAGAACTTTTAGAATAAATAAAGATTAAAAATCTCTCTCTGACAAATATATAACAGAAAAAGCACACTCATTCACCTGCAGTGCTGCCAGCAGAACCGTGCGAAACGAAAAACAAATAAAATTAGCCCAATATAGCCAATATAAGTGATCACAAATATACGAATGTTGTATTAGAATATAATTTTTACAAATATAAAATTTAATGTCTATTTTTATAATAATAACAAAATTTAAAATAAATTTTGTAGTATTTTTATTGATAAATTCATTTTTGTTTTTGTAATTCTAGCCCTTCTCCTAAAAAATTGTCAAATTGATACCGTCATTTTTTAAATCCTTTCCCCGTGTAGACACTAAGAAAGGTTTTTTTTTTATCTGTTAAACTACTCCCGAAAATTTCTGGCGTTTTCGACCAGTCTGTATTCGATTTTGGGTTTCCCAAAGTGGTAGATTGTCACCTTAGCCGCTCGGCCGTTAGAAACGATTATATTGATTGAGATCTTAATATTTTTTCCTTTGGTTTATTGACGTCAAACGTCTTATGAATAAGAATTAATAACATGCATCTATAATTAGGAAGATAGATTATGGCTAGAACATGAATTATATTCAGTTATTCTAACAGTCTAATAGAAACTATATTTTCACATCACCGTACGATCAATTAGAGATAAAGCCCAATATAAATTTACTGACTGTACTCAATGTCTCGTCATTCTGAGTTCACCAGTGGTCAAGCGGTTCTGTTCCCTGAACACTGGGAGTTGGTCGCGGGATCGCGCCTCGCCCGTATGAGACGGCCACGTGGAGTTTTTCGAGTTTTCTCCACGTCTGAATACGGGTTAGTTACCCTTAAAAAGACCTCCCGGAAGGCATTTTTCCTAGGTAGGCAGATCGCCCAAGCGTTGGGTTGCCATAACTTAACAAACAAACGTTCTGAGTTCATCATCCTTTAGATCAGTATTTCTCAACGAGGGCGATATCGCCCCCATGTGGGCGTTTTTCCATTTTGAGGGGGCAATTAGTAACAATTTATATTTTGCGGGGACGAAAAACAATTTTCTGGACGATATAGTAAAACATTAAAGTAAGAATAATTAGCTACAGAATAATTAGAACCTCGATTATCCGCCCCCCGATCAACCGACCCCTCGGTTAACCGACCGTCCTAGTCGGCAAATTTCAAATGTCCGCTAGTGATGTGGCGCTACAATATTTGGCTATGTCTTGGCTACTTTAATATTATTTTTGCGTGTTTTAGCTGGCAACACTCATTCGACCATGAAAGGGAGCCAGTATTTAACGTGCAGCTAGAGATCCAGATGGCACAACGCGCTGATTGGTCAGCTGAATGACGTCAACCTACGAAAGTCGGTAATGTTGAGCGACTAGCCAAACTTTGTATTGTTGTTGTGAGAGCGGGCAGACATTATATAATAGTTATATAATGTCTGCCCGTTATATATAGTTATATATAGACATTTCATCTAAAACTTAATAGAAGGCACTTATTTATAATTTCACTAGCTCTTGTGTGTATTGACATTAATTGAAAATTTTGCAATAATTTTAACATAAAATTACGTGATATCAAAGATTTTAATGCTGAGACATTTTTAAACATCAAGAAACAGATAAAATATAATACAAAGTAATTTTTTGCAGACTAAATTACTTTTTATCATCTCTTTGGCTTAATTTATTTTCATTAGCCTAACCTACTAAGAAACAGATAAAAGAAGTAACTTCTTTTATCTGTTTTGTATTTTTGTAAGCTTTTTTGTACATTTACTATAATAATAAAATAATCAAAAACAACAAATGTAAATTGCAAATTAAGTTTTTTTTA